GGTGTTTAACTTTAAACGATCATAACTTTCTTAACACTCATCGGATTTAATCCAAATAAGCACCATTCGAATCAGCACACTTTTGCCAATGTGGCAGCAGTCGAGAAATCCCATCAAGAAAAAACTGGATGTGGGTCGAGAATCACGAAATCTGCAGGTACTTTTGCCTGGTCCTAATTGATGAAGTATTTTTCAGCAAGGAAGTTCTGAAAATGTTTGAAAAGGTGATAGTCGGTTGGTGAAAGGTCTGGAGAATATGGCGGGTTGAGGTAGAACTTCAACCCCAATTCGTTCAATTTATGGATAGTGATTTGTGAAACGTGTGGGCGGGCGTTGTCATGCAAAAGAATCGGACCCTTTCTTTTGATAAGTGTTGGCTGCAGCTGACAATATTTTCGGTACATTTGGTCGGTTTGTTCACAGTAGGGTTCTGCTGTGATGGTTTACTTTGGCGCCCTCGGGATGAAAAATTTTAATGTGGTTACAAGCCGGGAATTTGTGGGACACAACCTGACCAGATTTTTTTTCGCGAGGGTTCGGCTTTGAAAATTACCTCGGTGGTTCCTCCAAATCCAACCACTGTCCGGAACGTCTCCTGTTATCATACATGATCCATTTTTTATCAAGCCACCTGACAATCCGTTCAAAAACGGTCAATTCTTTGCGCAAAAGCAGTGAAGAAGGAACCTCGAGACGTGCCGATTCCTGCCGGTCACTCCGATTGTGGGGCACCCAATTGTCGAGTTTTTTCACCTTCCCAATGCGTTCCAGACCATCTGCAACAGTGGATTTGCCAAGGCCTAGCTCTTCTGCTATCTCTCGAACTGTTTGGGATGGGTCAACCTTCAAAATCCCCTAAAATCCTCGTCAGATATTGCTTTTAGTCTGAACGTTATGAGGTCCCTTCAAGACGGTGATGTTTCAGACGACATTTGTTGAGCCATAGCCGCACAGTGCTTTCTCTAGCACTATTGGGCCTCCACACCTGGTTAATTTGTTGAGCTGTTTCGATTGCGGATTGCCCAATTTATAGCCGAAGAAAAAATCGTCCGAAAGTGCTTTTTACATCTTGAAAAAATTTGAAAAGAGGGTTTATCAAGCAATGGTGAAACGGCAATTATACCATCAGATAGCGCAAGAAATTCTCTACAGGATGTGCTACTGAGAAGCAAGGCAGAATGAGTTTTTAATCAGCAGTGAATGTACAAAGATTAGGTGCACAAAACGCTAAGAACTTTCCGGACAACCTAATAAATGAGGGAGAAAACAAGAAAAGGATGTCGTAAGACGAGGGCTAGAGTAGACAGCGGGATTCTGCCAACTTCCGGTTCACAACTACAAAACAGAAAAATTAAAAACAGCTACGAGCCCTCTTCTTGAATGCGTAAAAAACGTGGAGCGTGGCAAGGGTTTGACGGGTAGCGAAAACTTCCGAACAAGGTGCTCTCACCGCTCAGCAGTTCTTGATGTTATCGTTGCAGTTCCTATAGCGCTCGTGAACTATGCGGCTTTGACCGGTGATCAGATCGGCCTTCTTAATGGTTCACCGCCGGCTGCATCAAGAAAAAGAATGTAAAAAAAATGATGTCATTTGAAACACTTCTGGCTACTTATTGGACTACAACCTGTATCAGTTACCGTCTCTGATCATCGAATCCCTCGAGCAGAGAGCACCCTATTTGTCCTCAGAACCTGCTAGGGTCGCTCAGCAGAATTTAGCGGGACACACAGCACTTTACAGTGATCGGTCAGAACATTCTCTAAGAAACCTGATCATCGGGTCCGTTGTTGTTCGGGTGTTGGTCTGACATGCTGTGGAATCCAGTCGGTTATCGCTCCGGTCTGGCGGTCACCAGCGATGCGCATGACGTGCCCCTGCCCACGTGATCATTGAAATAAAGGTCAACGTTGACGTACTCAGTTAAACTCCCTCCGGACTTCCCGACTTGTGATGCCAAAGTGCCAAAACTGGCCAAAGGAAAATGCTGTACTGCCCACTTTTAGGTGCCTTAGAGTCAAGTGGGACGTTAAATCCAAGTCGTATAACGGCAGACCTCAACAGACAGGCCGCGTTTAAGTAATCACGCGTCGTCCTGCCTTTGTGCAACTTAGTCCAGCCCTCAAGCTAAGATACCTGCGCCTTCTGTGCGACGTCCAAGCCGTCAGGTGCTACAACGCTGACAGTTCTGCCATCGCTCTCTAACGCCCGCGCGCCGGTTTGACCGCGCACCACTCCCTGCCTCACGATGGGCCCTCTGGACGCACACTGGCACCGTCCAGTTGTTCTTTAATTGGGGCGGCGGGCCATTGATCCGAAATCGCATGTCCCTTTTTGCTGATCACGTCTTGCACGATGAGAAATCTCGGGCTATTTTTATTACCATTTTATTCCATTAGGAGTACATACAGCCAACTGCAACCAATCTCGCAAGGTAAAACGCGTAAAAATCACGAGTGATGCAATTTTCTTGGTGCAAAAGTTCGACGCACTAAAAGAACGTACGCGTAGGTAACCGCTGATTCGTACGCCGAATTTTGAAAGTTTGTTCTGTCAGAGTTTTCGGCGGCCTGTTTTTGTTGTTTTTCGTTTTCTTTTCTTTACATTGGATGACATCTACTACTGGAAGATGCGAAAAAGTGATTTATGAGCCAGGGGTTGCACAGAGACCGCTGAGGTGGGTGTGACGTCAGGGAGCGTTTCGTTTATGGTCTCCTTGAGAACTTTCTTGCTTTTTTTTTTTTTATGGGGAATTACTTTATCAGCTACTGTTTAATAATTGAACAGCAAATATCCATGACACTTTTATCGCGGGAGCTGTCTTTAAGCGAGTGGGTCCGAACTTTGAACGTAAAGGAAAACAATTTTTGCAACGTCACTTTAAGATGGGGTAGATGCCGGCAGCAGGTCAGCACCAGGCGCACTTGTCACATATTCAATCATTGGAGCCAAGGGTACGGATTCCTACGGACTAGTTTGCCTTCCTTGTTAAGATTAATACTACCACTCGGCTTGTCAAGGACCGTGTCTTCAACCTAGAAATTCATGCTTCGACCTCTACCAGTGCGCCAGCGCTTGAAATGTGGTTCAATTGCGAAAAAAACGGGTAGGCTGCGTTCATACTTTGCGATAGCGTTCACAAGCGAACATCAGCGTTTCGAGCGCCGTCAGCTTCAGCTTCTGGGGAAATATAGATATCGATCCAGCAAGCGGCAGCGTCTCGAGCGATTAGGAAATTATGGATATCGATTTAGCGCTTACCAGCGTCCACCAGCGACCAGGAGCAGAGAGTACGGGGAAGTAGGACGGTAGCAGACTGCCAGTAGAGTATGGGAAAGTAGAAGGAGATAACAGCTGTATTAGACGTTGTGAAACTGTGGCATGTGCAATCGCACTGCATTGGTACACAATACCGTACTACTGAACGCAGATGAGCGCTGCTGCTCGCTGGTGGACGATGCTACAAAGTATGAGCGCAGCCTAAGTGCCAGCTAAACTCAACACAGTATGATTAACATCGAGTTCATTGAAGGATGAATATGTTTGGTTATGAAATATGTGATCGACGAGTTTTACTTGTTTAGTCGGAGTCCTTATCGTCGTAGTAAACGGATTTCATATATTCAAAAGGTTTTTCTTTGCTTCCCAATGTATTGGGTATGTAATCTCGGCCGCTTTCCAGCCTGGATACCTTCTCGTCTTTTTCCCTACTGCTCAACTTTGTATGCTTCCGTGCTTTTTCCTGACTTTCCAATTTATCAGGTTTTTCATACTCTTTGCTTTGCACCTTCGTACGTTTCTCTTCATTTTCCTCGCTTCCGGGCTTATTTATTCTGCCATCTTCTGCGCTCTGCGACCTCGTAGATCTTTTGTCTTTCTGAGCGCTTCCATGTTTATTATCCTTGCCATCTTCTTGGTTCTCTGACTTCGCAACCTTAGCTTTATCTTCGTCGTCAGTTTTAGACAGCTTTGTTCCACTTCGTTCCTCGCTCGAACGTTTAGGCACCCTGCTCGTCTTTTTCTTTTGAAGGGAGGCTCTTCTGTACTTTTTGAGAGTTTCCTGGCAATCTTCAAATGCGCAGCGCGTTCCTGAAACTACCAAAACAAAATCCCTTCCTGCAACTTTCACTAGAGCGTGAAAATGAAGGAATTGTAAATAGCGCCTCGATAAGTAGTAAAACCAACCTTGAGAAGCCTTTTTGCCGATGTCATTCCAGTCTGAATCGGGAGTTGTGAACTAAAATGGAACGATGATGGGAAATAGACAGGATACGGACATCGACCTGCACCATCGTTGGCCTCACACCCATTTCATAGGCCAGAAGGCCCTCAAAAGCAGTGTTCCAAAGACACATTCGGCGATTCAATGGAGAGACTGACTTCCTTGTACAGGTAGTGGGGTCCGCAATCTCAGGGGTTGTTCAGCTGACTGAGATGACTGTAAGTGAAGAGGAACTGCGGTCAGCCCAACGTCGTATTCGCTGCGGATGCTGGGGCACGTTAAGGGGCGCGAGGTTTCTCTTCTCCACAAAATGTGGAGGCTGGAATGGACCGAAATCGGTGGAATAGAGGCCGACACTGCGCCAAACCACCACCCGTAGCGATTATTGGAACGATGCCCGCTGGAAACTTGTCCTGAATTGCTTTCTGAGTCGTGTGGAACGAAGGCTCTGTGCAGGTTTTTCATCGCTTTACTCGGCTTTTCTCCATTTGTGGAACGAAGGCTTTTTGTGCAGGTTTTTCATCTCTTCACTTGGCTTCTCTCCATTTGTTCACTATATAGCGCCCCACTACCCTATTAGATCCAGTACCAAATCATCGTGCCTTACGCCTTCAATGGAGTCAGGATGAATCATACTCCCAAGAAAGACTCGTCAACGGTGGATATTCATCCTTTCAGGTTCCTATAGAAAATTCTGTCATAAAATACTGGCTGGACTCACATCGTCAAGCAACTCGTACTCAACGTCCAGAAATAGCTCCGCTGATATATCGCTTCTTATTGAACGGGCGGACCAAAAGAATACCACTGAAAATGTCAGATTATAAAACATTTCCAAATTTAAGCTAGTCATGCAAGCAGAAGCATTTAAAAGGTTTGGGAGCATAATAACTCAAACTTCACACTTCGATTCCGTTTGTGTGGATGCACCCAATGCTGTAGCAGTACAAAGTTCCCAGGAGTACAAACGATGACATGAAGGCAGGATATTCTCCAGTTGGTCGATGTAACCGTCAGCGTTCACTTTCAGTCCGGGGTCCACGAAGAAAATATCGGTCTTCACATTCCAGGAACTTCCGGTCCATACCATCAACCCGCGCCTTGGCGACTGCGGTGAAGATGATATCCTGGACCGTAGCGACGTTGTCGGAGCTGCTCGATGTTGGAGGTCTTCCAGATCAAGAGTACTGGTCTCCAGGTAGCTATCCATGGGTGACTCCATACAAGAAGTTTCGCAGCTGTTTGGAGGTGACGTGAATTCCAAAGGTCTTCTCCAGTCAGGCTGCGACTGGAGATGACTTCATATTTTGGTGTACATGAAGGTGATGGGCGAGAGCCAGCCCTGCT